ACTCAACATTCCGCCGGCAAATGATGCGGCCAAAAGACCCGACCCTAAGTAGGAAATATCGGCTGTTGTCTACCGACTTTAATGCAGCTGTGGGAAGTGCAACTACGTGTGGGAAACCGACCGACGGCAACAAACTCGAATGCACGAGCATAAGTAGGCCTTGCGAAGGTTGGACCCAAAGTCAGAGGTAGCAACCCATGCTGCGCAAATGGGACATTTCTTCAACTTCAAGGCCGTTGAGATTGTAGGCCGGGGCGGTAATTATACGTCAAGGCAGATGCAAGAAGCCTGGATGTCCACCGACTGCTCTGTCAACTGCCACATCAGTCTGCCTCCCCCCTTCTGACTTTACGAACCTTCTTAACGGGGGACAGTCACGGCGCGAGACTATCAGGGTCATCACGTATCTCCTCGGCTAACGAGGGCGTGAGCGACTCAGATCACGGTAACATAAGGGAAGGATGCAGCCACACAGGCGCCATCGGCGGGCAACACATCAAGCAATGTGCGCCTTATAAAGAGAGCCATGCGCATGGGATCCCAGACTCTGAAGATGGGTAGGCGAAACAACTCGAAACGTCAGACCTCCAATACACCTCTCCCGGTGAACGCCTCCTTTCCTTTTGATGCATGTTTCAAAGAAAAATAAGTTCTTTGGGGAAACGAACAAATTTTATTTCGTGAATTTTCGATTCTGGTTACCCAGCTCGTCGTCAGACGTGTAGCAATTGTGGTAAAACAGTTAAAATTTAAACATGCCCAAAAATCGATATTGCTTTGCGAGGGCTGAGGATGGGTCAATGCTGTGGGCTGACGTCACGTCTTGATTGGCTTAAATCTTTTCCATTTTTCTTTGAGATTTGTGTACATGGCGTCAAGATCGATGCGCCGATTGATGCATGAATCATCAGAATGAATGGCCTCTAAGAAATCTCGGCCTTTCTGATGTGGGCAGGAACCAACAATGCGTGTTTTATCCCAAGTGAATTTGAGCCCAGTTTCAAGAGTATGCATGATGACTTAGAATAAGTGATCCCGCCTCTTTACTGACCTTTGGTGTTCATGTAGGCGTGTACAGGCGGACTTTCCGGCTTGACCACAATACCCCGCATTACAGGTGTTACATGGGATCTTATAGACTACTTTTTTTTTATCCAAATAGCTAACCCTATTCTTAGGGTGTACAAGGTGATTGCGTAGTGTAGTCGCCGGTTTGGGAGTCAATTGAACTTGGTGCTTCATCAGGTGACTTTCAACACGATACATGTGTATATACGGTAGAGGGGCGCTCACCAATCGTTTTTACGGAACTCACTCGTCCTGTTGTGTCTTAGAGCTCTCTCTCGGGCGCCCCTCTACCATTGTATATTCCCGATCGCAACCGACAGGAAAACGGGCCCGTGGCCCAGTGGTTAGAGGCGTTGGACCTCTAGCTACCAGGTCGCGAGTTCGAGCCCCAGGTGTTCCACACTTCGAGGTTGGGTATGACTGGCTGACGACGGCTAATAAGTCAGAAGTGGCCATTCCAGTCTCCCTTGTCTTTGTCGGTAGTATCGTTCTGCCTGTATCTACGCTATGTTGAGACAATTGCAACTGCGATGGAACGGACATCTCATGAAGATGGACAACGAGCGGATACCTAAACGACTCTTCTACTGAGATATCGCCACAGGTTCCCGTCGCCAATGAGGCCAAATCAGTCGCTACAAAGACATGGACCTCCCTGAAGCGTCCGCAGATCAAACCGGTCAACAAGGAAGACCTCGACCTCGATCGATCGACCTGGAGGAGGACAGTGAAGACAGGCGGAGCGATCTACGAGGTATACCGTATCGGCACCGCGAAAGCCAAACGAGAAGCCCGCAAATCTCAGCTGGGCCCATCTCACAACGCCAACGACGAGCCGCCTTCAACGTGTCCACGGTGTCAGCAGACATTCTGGGCACAAACTGGACTTGGTGGACACCTTCGGACCAACTGCAGCGCTCGGACTGCATCAACCGTCGCCTCTCCGTCCACCTCTCCCTTGCCTTCTACGACATCAACTAACTCTGACCGCCCTCCCGAACCACCACTTCCATCCTCCTCCTCCTCCTCCACCTCCTCCACCTCCTCCTCCTCCACTGCTCCAACGTCTGAGGTTGTGGCGTCTGCCATGCACATTAACACTACAGACAATCCTGACACACCAACAAACACCAACGCCACAATCGCCGACACCAGAGGTTAGGACCTGGATTACACCTGTCCTCATTGTGATCGCACCTTCACCTCACACATCGGCCTGGTCGGTCACTTGGGAATCCATCGCACAGAGACTGGCAAACGAGCGCCTGGAGCACCTATCTACAGCCGCCGCACTCGCCTCCACTTCCACACATTGCTCTCGCACTTTCACGCATCGCATGGGCTTACTTGGCCACATGCGCATCCACGAAAACCTACGGTGGATAATCGCCGACTACACCACACTACGACATTCCTCTCAACAGCATTTCATCAAACACCAACACCATCAACCACATACATTGAACTGAATCCACCCGCGCAAGTAGGAAGTGTGCGTCTCAACTCGGGCTGCGTGAAACTCCTGCTGCATGGGTGACTCGAGCCTAAGACTATTCCGGCGCGTCAAGCGTCGCGGATTGGAAGGCTGCTGTTTGACGCCCGCGCTCGGTGCACGCAGTCCGTCCCGTTGTGTGTGTTTTGTGTGGAGTGGCGGACTGGTGGGCTGGGAGACGGGCCGAAACAGCACATTCCACGGCTCTCTGACGCAAGTGAGAGCTCCGCCGTTCAACTCCTATTGAGCGAAATTCAGGTGTATGTGTGCCTGGCGGGCCAGGTTGTGCACGTGGCGTACGCAGACATGGTTAGTCGGACATGGCAGCCACCGAGCCCATTCCCCACTCCAGCTTGCTGACCGGTTCGGACAGTGGCTGATGCTCGGAATGGGTAGGGAGAGAGACCAATGACTCAGCGCATTTTCCTCACTATAAACAATCTGTCGCGCTGGAAGCTATCACGGTGCGCTAGAAGCCGTGGCTTGGAGGGTT